CACGATATTATTCAGTCCAGAAAAATGAATGAATCCGTTTAATTTATAGATAATATATCACAGATATATGTTCTCTTACACCTGGATTATTGAGCATGGACTTTGTTGTTAAACTTTAAAGGATTTTTTATCTCTCAGCCTAGATAATGTTTTTTTTTAGCAATAATAACACAACCATGTTATTGTTGATGTTTTGTGTTCTAATGTCAATTATGGAGATGATCAGAGCCCTAAACCCCAGAGAACCACAGAGAAGATTCAGGAAGAGACACAGAGGTGCAGAAGTCTGCATCAACTCTAACCTCAGTGAATCCAGAGACCTGCTGGTGGGATGTGAGGGACACTATGTCAGTGCTGTCAAACTGACAACCAGGTATCTGTGTGTGCAACAAGCATCACCACACCCTCAAGAGTGAACATGTTCTACTGCTGGAGACGTCATCAGCCAGGAGTAGGCTTGTTTGTGTCCAAAGAAAACAGACATGTTGATTTTTCTGAAGAAAAACTGTTCAGTGAAAAGGTCCTCAGTGTGTAGTGGTGAGCATTAGACACTGACATGTCACTTGTTGTTTGCAACTGTTCTTTTGAACTGGAAATTATTTGTTTATTTTTATGTAAGAAAACTGCTTGGAATAGAAATACTAAAGTTAAAAAATAAAACTCAAAATTTGTACTGTAATGTGTAACAAATTTATTCTTGTTAGAATTAATACTAATTACAAAATGGTAAAGAAAAAAGAACCGTCCAGGAACCGACACCGAAGTGAAGGTACTGACATCGGTACCAATACCGATTTTTTTTTTTAGAAAGATACCCAGCCCTAGTGTGCCCCCAGATTGTTCCATCAGCTATAGCTCACTGATACACGATCCGATCTATACCAGATTTTTTTTAGCATTATAAAGGAACACTGGTGGACACATTGCTGTGGTACGTTAATGATATCATTTAAGTCCCACACACTCAAAAAAATATTCAAGATCATTGGGTACGTAGTCCTATTTCTCCCATTTATGAAATATTAAAACTATATCCATTGAACATTGATAACCACACATGACATGTTGAAAAGCCTAAAGGAAGTCCTCGTCAAACATTTGCCACAAAACAGGAAGTAACTAACTACTGTGTGGCAGATCGGATTTTGGCCAAATTTGTAAGACTTGCAGCTGGACTCGTACTGACATGGGCGGAAGGTGATTTTTCAAGATTTACCAAATGCGCCCCCAGTGGACACGTGCGGGAATGGTACGAGAGCATTTACAATGGCGACTGGGAAGCATAGCTGGAGCTCTCGCGGTCACAACAAGGTTTAGTGGCTGGAGCTCCTGCGGTCGCCATATGGCCGAAGTGGCGCTTTGCTGCGAGGGCCATCAATGCTGCTTGCAGCTTTAATTTATAATATTATTATTATTCATATTATATTATTTCATTTCCCTCTGGTTTTAATAAAGTATTTTTGAACTGAATTGAACACTAGAACATGCTTAAAGTCTGAACTTTTTAACATGAAGGTGATTATTAATTATTTAGTGTAATAAAATCAACAAGCAAGTCTTGTCTTTGACTTCAAAATTTCTGTTTGGGATTATTTTTGCATTTGAAACAGAAGAAAAAACAAGGAAACAGTGAATCATAACGTTTTCACGTCATTTTGAGGGTTTTTTCCTTAAATCTCCTTCACTCTCCCCACGCTGCTCATTCACACTTATGTGTGGATCGTTTGGTCGTGCACGCATTTCATATGGTTGCACGCGCGGGTATGGACGTCCTTTTGTCCAGTATGGCTAGTCATACATTAGAGCAGGACTGGGAGAGGAGAGAGACAGACACACATCTCAGTCATGCCACTTGTACAGACAGTTTTAAGGGTGGGGGGTCAGCGTGAGGGAAGAGGCTGCTTTTAGCTTTTTGGCTTGTGCAACCCTGTCATGCGAGCCTCTACTTTAGCATTATGTCAGTGCCGACAGGTGTGGGTGTGTGGGTGTGTGGGTGTGTGTGTGTGTGTGGGGGGGGGGTAGACAGGGCACCCTGCTTGTATAACGGTAGAGGAAACACTGAAAAGTTTACAAGTGGTGAGATTAGCTATGTTGTGTGGTCTGGAGACATTGGCATCGACAAAAAGACAGGAGAAAGAACTGGAAGTGGCAGAAATAAAGATGTTGAGGTTCTCTTTAGAAGTGACAAGGATGGATAAGATTATGAATGAGATCATCAGAGGTACAGCACAGGTTGAACAACTGGGAGATAACGTTACAGAGGCCAGACAGTCGGTTTGTACATGTCCAGAGGAAGGACAGTGGTTTGGACATGCATTTTAAACTACGAATAAACATGAAGTAAGAAGGAGTGATTATTAATATCGTTTCATGTTGGCTGGTGATTATTTCCCCTACAACTTAAGTTAGGGTACACTATGTTTCTTAGACTATGACTAGGATGCGTGAGAAAAGTGAAACACGCTCTAGTCACACAAGGAGAGCTGTTGGTCAAGTTACTTCTTGTTGTGCCATTAACTCAAATAGTTATTGAATCAAGTGTTTACTTGTGTAGGTAAAACTACAAGTTTTACAACCGTTAAAATACACCAGAATACAAAAAAGGACATCTATTTTATAGAAAATTTTCTGGGGGAGATCCCCCAGATCCCCCACCTCCCACCACCAATGTGTCTCCCCCCAACCCACATTATAAATATGCTTTTGACACCAGTGGCCACCGTGTTGCTCATTGTCTTCCAGAGCTGGACCTCACCCAAAACCACAACTGGACCTCACCCAGACCAAAGCAGGACTCTCACATATAACATACTACACATCTCATGAACAACAAGATTAGTCTTTTTCGTTTGATGTGGGCCAGATCACTTATATTAAAAGTAAACCAACGAAAGCTGCTGCTGTAATTTGATTCTTTTAATAAGTCATGTAACTTTCTATGATCCCAGGTTTTGAACAGGTGTGATACTGGTGTGTGGCCACAGCGTGCACATCTGACGTTGCTCACAGTGGTCCTCAGTGCACTCAGGGAGCTTGTGTGTTTGTACAGACACATAAAAAATTAGAGGGACCATTGGTTGACACTGTCGAAAAGGTCCAATGACATCAGAAAAGCCTTTGAAAGAGCAGGTCGTGATTGGCGCAGAGCCACAAAAGCATCTTTGGAGTGTTCCATTTAATCGCTAAGGCTAAAAAGCTGCACAATATTGGACAACAATTTCTGAAACCCACCTGCCTGAAAATTGTGGAGTTGATGTGTGGGGCTCAGTGGATGAAGTGAAAACTGTCCCGCTGTCTTAACAACACTGTCAGTGTCAAGGACAGAATAGATAAAATGACTGAAATTTGACAAAATCAGATGCATGATATGATCAGGAAGATATCTTGACAAAACTACTTTTTTTAAGACTGTTTTTAAGATTACTCTAGATAGTTTTTAAAGAAAAGTTGAGTAATTCACAAAACAGTATTCTTGTAGTTGATGATGATGTCACTATGATATAGAGATTCATCTGAATTATTATTTTGGGAGAGGGGAGTAGAGAGGGATTGGGGAGCACAGATTGGCTAGGAAGTGGTGGGAGGGGTGTCTGAGGAAAATAGGTTGGGAACCACTGACCTAGGGGAAACACTGAACTCAAAATATTTGTGTTTATTTTGGTCATTAAAGTTGTTTTCTTACCTGGGTGTGGTCTAGTAAATGGTCCATCTTTGGCCTGTGTCACCCCGAAACAAAGAAACACCAAGATGCTGGCCACAATGCCTCTAAAGGAGTCAGAAACAGAAAAATCACTGACGTTTATAAAGTAATAAAAATAAAAAAATGATAGCCTTTATAAAACCATTCACCTTTTTGTCCAAAGATCTTTGACATCAGAGATTTTAACACACAGTGAGGAAAAAAAGTACAAACCGGATTCCAAAAAAGTTGGGACACTAAACAAATTGTGAGTAAAAATTGAATGCAATGATGTGGAGATGGCAAATGTCAATATTTTATTCGTAATATAACATAGATGACAGATCAAAAGTTTAATCTGAATAAATGTAACATTTTAAAGGAAAAATATATTGATTCAAAATTTCAGTGTCAACAAATCCCAAAAAAGTTGGGACAAGTAGCAATAAGTGGCTGGAAAAAGGAAATTGAACATGTAACGAACAGCTGGAAGACCTAATTAGGTCAATTGACAACATGACTGGGTAAAAAAAGAGCTTCTCAGAGTGTCAGTGTCTCTCAGAAGCCAAGATGGTAAGAGGATCACCAATTCCACCATTGTTGTGCAGAAAGATACTGCAGCAATACCAGAATGGTGTTACCCAGCGTAAAATAGCAAAGACTTTTAAGTTATCATCATCAACCGTGCAAAATGAACCAACATAACTGTGCACTTCCGGTAAGATGGCACCCGTGTGCATGGCTTGCAATCCACCTCTGCTGATGGTGTTCGGATTATTTTTGCTTTGTTCGTTTTTTATCTGTGGCATAAATTCACTCCTCGTATGACCGACGACAGCTTCTGGATCTTCGTTTTTCTGTCACTGATGTCGCTTATTTTGACCATTATCAGCGTACCTCTGGTACCTCTGGGTAGTGGTACCCCCCCTCCCCCCCTGCTGGCGGACGTGCCAGTTTACCTCCGCTGGGCTCCTCACCTCCATGCCCGGAGACATCGCTTCAGACGCCGGGGAAAACGTGCAGGTCAGTTAGTGAAGCTTAAAGCTCTGCGCGCTGTATCTTCCTCTCCAGCTGGTGGTCATGGTCTCCATCGCCAGCTTCCCGCGTGCCCAGACCAGGTAACCAACGGGAGTTGTCGGCCGGTGCACTGCTCGGACCGACCTGGAGGGGCTGTTATCGATAACCTGCGGCCATTAGCGCGCGCCAACTCCACCGCTGCTAGCTCCACTTTGGACAGTATCCAGATGTGTTTGGTCAACGCAAGATCTGTTACCAAAAAAACTTTTATCCTCAGGAACTATTTTCAAGAGCTCGAATTAGACTTTCTGTGCATCACAGAGACTTGGATGTCTCCGGATGAGTCCAGCGCCTTGACGGAATTATTGCCAACAAACTGTCTGTATTTTAACGCCCCGCAGCCATCAGGCCAACACGGTGGTGGAATATTAACAATATTCAAATCAACTTTGACTGTAAACAACTGCCCATCCCAGTTTCCCGCTCCAGCTTTGAGCTGAGCGTCTTTGAACTCGGACATTCACCTCAGACTTTATTTGCACTCGTATACCGCCCACCTCGATCTAAGAATTTCATAAATGAGTTTTCTGACTTCTTGGCTGAAATCACACCAAAATATGAGCATGTTTTCATTATTGGGGACTTTAATTTGCACATGTGCTGTCCTGAGAAGCCCTTGGTTAAGGACTTTTTAGATTTATTGGACTCATTTAATCTAACTCAGCATGTAAACAGTCCCACCCAAGAGCACGGACATATACTGGACTTTGTTTTAACTCATGATATGACTGTTAATAATCTTGTTATTGGTGATAATGTTTTTTCAGACCACAGGCCAGTCCAGTTTGAGTTCACCCTCCCCCATCTAACTCCTAAGTCGTGCATTCCGGCACGTAGCACCCGGGCAATTAACCTCTTCACTGCCGCACATTTCACAGATGTTTATAACTCTGAAATGATCATTCAGCCCCCGGTGTTTCTCACCACCACTGAGGAGCTGACATCCCAGTTCAACTCTGTCTACTTAAAGACTCTGGATCATGTTGCGCCTGTTAAAACTAGAAAATCAAAACTCAGAGCAGAACCTTGGCTGAGTGACGTCACCAAGGCCGTTAGGCAGCACTGTAGGAGGGCGGAGCGAAAGTGGAGGAAAGACAGGCTGCAGGTCTCTTTTCAAATACTTAAAGAGAGTTGGCGCTGTTATCAGAAAACAGTGAAAGCTGCTAAATCCAAATACTTCTCTGATATAATTACCTCAAACTCTTGCAACCCACGTGTCCTCTTCTCCACCCTTAACTCTGTTCTCCACCTCAATGAACCATCACCTCTGGAAGACTCGACTGAGCTGTGTGACAACTTCTTACATTTCTTTTTGGAAAAAATTGCGACCACCCGGCTCTCATTTCCCCTCCAACTCATGACCCATCCATCCCACCTCATTCTGTAGCTCCTTTTGACCATTTTGAACCCATCACTATCTTCTCTAGAGCAGGTCATGTGCAGCTTGAAACCTTCTGGTTCCCCCTTTGATGTGGTCCCACCTCGACTACTAAACAAGGTTTTTCCCACTCTAAGTCCGTCCATTCTTGCTATAGTAAACAGTAGTTTATCCACTGGCGTGGTGCCAAAATCCTTTAAACATGCTGCCGTCCAGCTGCTCCTGAAAAAACCAAACCTTGACCCCTCAGTCGTGTCCAACTTCCGGCCTGTCTCCAAACTCCCATTTGTTTCTAAAGTACTGGAAAAAATAGTTGAGTCCCAGTTGAAGTGCTTCCTGGAAGGTCACACCAACTTAGAGCTATTCCAATCTGGCTTTAAACCTCTCCACAGCACTGAAACTGACCGGCTGAAGGTCTTTAACGACATCTTCAGATCCACAGATACTGGTGTTACGACCGGCTCAGACCGAACATATTTAAGGGACACAGGACACCAAAAGAAGGATTAAAAATAAATCTTTATTAAACCTAAGTTTTATAAATCACTCCAGGCAGCAGGCGAAGTCTTCGTGGGCTCCTCCCTCCTGGACTGGAGAGCACCTTCTTCAGGATCCGTGTCACCAAACAAAAAGAAAGTAAAGTAATAAAACGAAAGGTGGACCAGGTGAGTTTGGCCAAAATCAATATAACGCCGTCTGAGCAGGGCCAACCCTGTACAGGGTCGTCGAAGCCTCACAGACAGCGGACTACCTGTCCAAAAGATGTCTAGGAGTAAAGAAAAAAAAGACGAAAAACAGGACTACCAAATCTCACCCAGTCAGAGGGCTTTAGTCTGAATGACTACAGCAAACGGGAGAAAAAAAACAAAACTGACCCAAAAACGCCGGACCGTCCACGGTCAGCAAAAACACCTCCCTGAACAATAAACAGAAACACCCAAAAGTCCACAATCACACAGCTCAGGTCCCTCTACCTGAGCTGAACTAGGCTTCCACAAGCACTCTCAAGGTCTAAATGCATAAATTAAGCACCCAGGCCTAAATCTTAAAAAGCACTCAGCAGCTCTTTCATATCTCCTTAACAGGAGCTTACCTCGTAACGAGACAACAAGGGTGGGCGGAGAACACCCTAGTACCAAACAGCACTGCAGCAAGCAGCACCACCACCTCCGAGTTCCTCAAGACTCCACAATGCATATTAAGCACACAGGCCTAAATCTCAAACAAAGAGCACTCAGCAGCTCTTTCATATCTCCTTAACAGGAGCTTACCTCATAACGAGACAACAAGGGTGGGTGGAGAACACCCTAGTACCAAACAGCACTGCAGCAAGCAGCACCACCACCTCCGAGTTCCTCAAGACTCCACAATGCATATTAAGCACACAGGCCTAAATCTCAAACAAAGAGCACTCAGCAGCTCTTTCATATCTCCTTAACAGGAGCTTACCTCATAACGAGACAACAAGGGTGGGTGGAGAACACCCTAGTACCAAACAGCACTGCAGCAAGCAGCACCACCACCTCTGAGTTCCTCAAGACTCCACACTCTAAGAACCACACTCTGAAGCTTATATAGGAGCTTCAGTCAGAACTCCCAAGCTGACTGCAATTAAGGTGATTAAAATAGAGGCGTGACCAAGAAGAAACAAAACTGCAGCTGATGTACAAAACTTAGAAGGTGACCCTAGGGGCACCCTAGGGTACATAACAACTGGTGATTCTGTGCTGCTTGTCTTTTTGGACCTCACTGCCACCTTTGACACCATCGACCACGAGATCCTCATTGTTAGGTTAGAGCAGTGGGTTGGCATCACAGGGTCAGCCCTCAGTTGGTTCAGATCCTACCTCACTGACAGATCCTTTTGTGTCTCCATCAAGGATTTTAGTTCCGCAGAGGCAGAGCTTAAATGGGGGGTTCCGCAGGGGTCCATCCTGGGTCCCCTCCTATTCTCTATATACCTGCTGCCGCTTGGTGCTATTTTCCGGAAACACAACATGCCCTTCCACTTCTATGCCAATGACTGTCAAATTTACTTCCCCTTAAGACACAATGGTACATGCTCTATTCAACCGCTGCTCAACTGCCTGGCTGACATCAGGGACTGGATGGCTTTAAACTTGTTAAGTTTCAATGAAAAGAAGTCTAAAGTCAAGTTGTTCCCTCCCAACGACACAATCACAAACCACTGCATAGACCTCTCCGCTCTAACCCTGTCAGAAAAACAAAGAGTCACTAATCTGGGCATGATAATGGACCCTTCCCTGAAACTTAACAATCATGTAAACATGATTGTTAAATCATGTTTCTTCCAAATGAGGCGGCTGTCTAAACTGAAGCCCATATTGTCCAAAAAAAACCTGGAGACGGTAATACATGCATTCATTACATATAGGCTTGATTACTGCAATTCACTCCTGTCTGGAATCAGTCAGACCTTCACTGCACGACTACAACTGGTCCAGAATGCAGCAGCCCGATATTTAACCAGTACAGGCAAAAGAGAGCACATTACACCAGTTTTGGCCTCACTGCACTGGCTACCGGTTCACTTTCGAATCCAGTTCAAAATACTCATGTATGTCTACAAATCACTTAACAGTTTCGCTCCCCCGTATCTCTTTGATCTGC